TGGAAAAATATTTTAAAGTTGGAAGAAGACAAAGGCAAACAATATTAAAAAAATTAGTGAATGCTGTAAAATATCTTAAAAAAATTATTATAAAGTTAAGAAATATTCCGGTCCATTAAGTCATACACATTTCTTACCATTACCACAATTGGACCTCGTCGTCAGTACGATGGCTGTGGTAATTAATTTAAATTTAATTTCAAATAATTGCATTATGTTAAAATTAGTTGTATGAAAATTAGTAAAAGTGTATGTAAGTAAAAATAAAAATAAACTTGTCCTCACTACGATGGTGTGAGTTGCACTAGCATCTGATGTAAACTATATACATATCGGCTTCAGATACTGCTACGATATCACTGATCACCAACAAGACTGGGTGAAAAATGTCGTTTAAGCAAAAACGCTAGTCTCACTGTACGACTCAACTTTTTTGAAAAACTGCAAATATTAGTAATATTTTAAAAATTATATCCAATACCAGACTTTTTTAGACAATAAATTTTCGACCTCGAAAACCTCGCATACTGGGCACAGAGTATGTCAGCCGTGAAGCCCTCCTGCACTCTGGTTGTAAGTTTATTTCTCACTCTTTCCACTATGTATGCAAATCAACTGTTCGAAGTCTGTCCGAGTAGTCACGACTATTTTTATGGATATCAACTGCTAGTATATGACATTTGCCAGTTGTCAGCAGAAACAGCAACCTCTTCTTTTTCTTGCCGCCATCTGGCACATTATGAAGTAGCCTGATTAGCAGTACAATGATACTGTTAATGTTTGAAATCGAATTTTAAATTAAAACTGAAAGGACGAAAAGAATCATTATGGTAAAAAAGGGGAAAGGCTGAAGAATTATGATATCTGAAAATTTTGTGGACTGGAAAGAAATGTTTCGGTCCATAAAGTCGCATTAATTTTTATCGTAAAGAAATTTTTTGTTTTAACGACAAGGAAATGCGATTTTTGTTTCGAAAAAAACAAAAAAAAAAAAAAATTTGTCGTAACAGAGATCTATTCGAAATCAAAATAGTACTCCGCGATAATCAGCAAGTTTGAAAGGCCTGCACTAAGCTGTTGGCTACAGCTTTTAACCAGTACCGTACCTTTGATTGCATTCGCTTCTGTATTCAGCTGATTGTGGAATTGGTAAATGTATGAGCAGACGTTCGTGGACTGATAAATCATCGTCGAAGAGCAGCGGATGCTCGTCCACTGGCTCTGGCGGCATTGAAACAAGA